TCCTACTGGGTTGCACCAAGATAGGAGAGCAGAACCTTCCGCCACTCTGAACCAGGAAGCTCTGAGCCAGGAGAGCAGTAACGTTCATGGCGGGGAGGGCCAGACTGTAGTATCGAAATGTACAACGATCTGTGGGGAAGGTTTCCGTGGCAAATCCTGTGCTAAGACTTTGCCAGTAAACATTTTTCCAATAGGAAAACCAGAAAGCTGTGTAACAGTATATGCTATAATGGATGATCAGAGCAATCGCACCCTCGCGAGTCCAGAGCTTATGGATGCCCTTGGTGTCAGAGGCCCAGAGGTGAAATACACATTGGCGTCATGTGCAGGAAACTTCTCGTCTTCCGGAAGGCGTGCTCATGGATTCATAGTTCAGTCTATTGACCATATCTCGGAACTTGAACTTCCAACCATGGTAGAATGCAGTGAGATTCCAAGTGATCATTCTGAAATACCAACGCCAGAAGTGGCTCAATATTACCCACGAGAAAAATCGCCGATCACATTCCTCCAGTGAATCGTGATTGCCAGATTGGCCTGTTGATAGGGAGAGACCTAATCAATGCACACCATGTGCATGAACAGTTGATAGGACCTCGAGATGCCCCGTTCGCCCAAAGGCTCAGCTTGGGCTGGGTAGTGATCGGTGAGGTTTGTCTAGGGAAGGCACATAGACCTGACACAATACATGTCAACAGTTTCAAGACTCATGTATTAAGTGATGGCCGAGGAACCATTTTCGAACCATGTAGCAGAAACCTGACACTACATGAAGGCAAGCGTGAAGACAAGAAACAGAACTTTAAGAGAACTTTATATCATGGTGATGAGCTCTTCGTCAAGACAAAAGACGACGAGAAGTTGGGTCTGTCTGTAGAAGACCGAGAGTTTAATCGGATCATGGAACGTGATATCACAAAGGACAATAAAGGGAATTGGACCGCGCCCTTGCCTTTTCGTTCTCCAAGGCAGGTGATGCCCAACAACCGGTCCTTGGCTTTGAAACGTGCAAAGTTTCTGGATGCTAATCTTCAGAGAAACCCTACGAAGAAAGAACACTTTATAAAGTTTATGAAGAAAGTTATAGACTCTGGAGCAGCTGAAGTCGCCTTGCCGACGGAAGAGGAAGTATTGTATCTACTAATCTTCGGAGTGTACCACTCGAAGAAGCCTGACAAGATAAGAGGCGTGTTTGATTCATCAGCAGTGTATGAAGGCATATCACTGAATGGCACGCTCCTATCAGGGCCTAACCTAACCAACAGTTTGTTGGGAATTCTTCTGCGGTTTCGTAAGGATGCCTACGCTATCACAGGAGACATAGAGCAGATGTTCTACTCTTTCTTGGTACGAGAAGACCACCGTGACTTTCTAAGGTTTCTGTGGTATCGCGACAATGACCCCGACCTTGACCTCACCGAATACCGAATGCGGACTCATGTGTTTGGGAATAGCCCCTCACCGGCAGTCGCGACATATTGTTTGCACGAAACCGTCAAAGATGCGGCAGGAGACGTGAGTGAGTTTGTGATGGAGAACTTCTATGTCGATGACGCACTCACTTCCCTACCCACAGCTAGGCAAGCTATCGATATCATGACACAAACACAGCAGGTGCTCAAGGCTCAAGGGAGGGAACCTAAGGCTGCATAAGATAGCATCTAACAGCACTGAAGTCATGCAGGCATTTCCGGAGCAGGAGCTGGCAGAGGAATTTAAATCCCTGAGCTTAGACAAGGACCCATTACCTGTACAACACAGTCTTGGCATGTCATGGGACCTGAACGCCGATCATTTCACCTTCGACGTACAACTAGAGGTGAAACCTAACACACGGCGGGGAATGCTGTCCACGCTAAATAGTATCTTCGACCCCATGGGTTTCATAACACCCATTGCCGTACACGGAAAAATCCTACTTCGAGAGTTGACAAAGGGTGTCGACTGGGATGAGACTTTACCCTCCGAACCCCTAGCTAGTTGGGTGGAATGGAAGAGGTCTCTCAGTCAACTAAAGGACTTGCAGATTCCGAGGATGTACGTACCCTTGTCGCTCAGTACTGCAGAGAAAGTAGAAGTGCATATTTTCTCTGACGCATCAGAGAAGGCTGTTGCCGCCGTTGCCTACGTCAAAACGTACAAGGATGGAGAAGGACAAGTGGGATTCGTTATGGGAAAGGCTAAGCTAGCGCCTTCACACGGGCACACCATTCCTCGACTGGAGTTGTGCGCAGCAATCCTTGCTGTCGAAGTGGGCGAGACTGTAAGTGAAAGCTTGAACATTAGCCCTACAGTGTTCAGATATTACAGTGACAGCAGGGTTGTGTTAGGCTACATCCGCAATACGACACGCAGATTCAACACATACGTCGCCAACCGGGTTGAGCGAATCCTTCGTGTGACACGCTCTGAGCAATGGTCATACGTACCAACCGACCAGAATCCGGCAGATCAGGGTACACGAAGCTTGATAGCAGCTGACCAGCTTGCAGCTAGTGTGTGGCTATCAGGACCGGAACAATTGAGAAGGCGCGACAATGATAACCTTTCGGAGACCTACCCTCTAGTCTCTCCTGACAACGATAGAGTTGAGACCACAAGTTGAGGTTGGCATCCGTAAAACCACAGTTGACGAGAGCATATCTGAAAAATTTGAGCGATTCTCGAGCTGGTATAGACTTGTTGCTGCCATCTCTGTTCTCAAACGAGCTGCAAGGAGCTTTAAAAGCAGAAGAAAGCAAGGAGCTGACAAGGATAAATCGTCGGCATTCGATCTCTACAAAGAGGCAGAGCAATTTATCGGGAGACAAGGACAACGAGATGCCTATTCTGAGGAAATTCAGAGGCTTTGGGATAGGAAACCTGTTCCCAATAACTGTGCTATCAGTCCTCTCAACCCATATTTGGACAATGATGACGTTATGAGGGTTGGAGGTCGTCTCAATCAAGGTTGTCTTGAGAAGAGACAAACCCGGTAATCTTGCCAGCTAAAAGTCATTTAGCAAGATTACTGGTACGCCACTTTCATGAGAAAGTTAAGCATCAAGGCAGGCTAATTACCGAGGGAGCCATAAGGAGCCATGGTTACTGGATAGTAGGGGTGATGCGAGTTGTTTCCGCAATCATTCATCATTGTGTCACCTGCAGGAAACTACAGGGACGTTTGGAGCACCAGAAGATGGCCGACTTGCCTGCTGACCGCCTCGCACCTGGACCACCTTTCACGTGTAGGTGTTGACATGTTCGGACCTTGGGCAGTGGTGTCACGCAGAACGAGGGGTAGACACAGCAAGCGCTGGGCTATATTGTTTACCTGCTTGACTATTCGCGCAATTCATATTGAGGTCGTAGAGGACATGAGCAGCTCAGCATTCATAAATTCTCTCCGTCGCTTCGTCGCCATCAGGGGTAATGTAAAGGAGTTCAGATCAGAGAGAGGAACCAACTTTGTCGGTGCGACCAGGAGTCTCAGGATCGACACCGTTAACGTCGAAGACGGTCCTGTCAAGAAGTACCTGTATGAATCGGGAGCCACCTGCATCTTCAATGCGCCACACTCCTCCCACATGGGAGGCATGTGGGAGAGGATGATTGGTATTGCAAGGAGAATTCTTGACTCTATGTTACACGGAGGGGGTGTGAAGAACCTTACTCATGAGGTTCTCACTACCTTCATGGCAGAGGTATGTGCCATAGTGAATTCGCGACCAGTGGCACCTATATCTACAGACACAGAATGCCCTATGGTTCTTAGTCCCGCGACACTCCTTAATCAGAAAGTCGGCGGCGACCCATTGGCATGTGTCGACTTTGACCAGAAGGATATCTACCGGGAACATTGGAAGAGAGTTCAAGTCCTCTCCAATGCATTCTGGAAACGCTGGAGGGAAGGTTACCTTCAGACCTCGTAAGTGGCGAGAAAGCCAGCCTGACATCAAAAATAGTTATATTGTATTACTTAAGGATAAGGAGGTGCCGCGAAGTGAGTGGTCCATGGGCATTGTTGAAAGTGCTATGCCTAGTGAGAGTGATGGTAATGTTCGAAAGGCTCAAGTCAGGATTCTCCGAGGAGGAAGGACTGTGAAGTTCAGTCGGCCTGTGACCGAGCTAATACGCCTGATTGACTGACTGTCTATCTGTGACGTAAATAGTTTATGATCATTAATCGCGTTATTGGTTGTGTATTGATTGTCTAGTGGTGATATCTAATAGACATCAGACGGGGAGTGTACTGGATTGTCAGTCTCACAGATGTTACATTCGGTGCAGTACAACCGGAGACCGGATCATTCTCCCTGCGTGCGGTTTTGTGGCTAGGTAGCCTTGTTTTCGTTTCATTATTACGGCCTCGTTTTCGTTACCAACGCGGGTTTTAAGAAACATGCCGGTGTTTCTAAGTTTCTCTTAAAAGTTCAAGTTAGTGTTGCCAAGGAGGTCGCCACAACTTCTTACGCTGTATCGTGTGGATGAATAAAGAAAGCAAACCGAGTTAACCCACTCGAAGCATTAGCTATCTGTATATCGCCGTATCTCCAAAAGCAAAGAGCAGCATATAGGCCAAGGCAGAATATCGACGAAATATAAAGTCCAAAACAGTATAAAAATTCGAAAAATTAGATCAGGATGCATGTTTTCAAGATTGATAATTGAACTCGGAACGGATGTAAACACTGAATCTTACACAACGCCATCTCGCGACAGATATATAGTTGCGTAATATTAATATTAATAATTTAAATATTATTTAATTAATATTAAATAATAATAGTATTCGCTTGCGCACGTGTGAACGCTCTGACTCAAACCGGCCCGAGCCAAATTTAGCCCATTTTGCCCGAGCCAAACCATGACCATGTGAACGCGGTATATATTGAACAAGGTACCCCATCCCATTTCTTTTTTTTAAATGCATATCACTTTCATTTACCTATATTTGGCCCCATAAATCTCTGGATATGTTATTATTCATAAAAAATAAAAAATGTGGATACGGTTTTAAATAATAATTGTTTAATTTGCATCATTTTTCAAGGTGAGACTTATCGCAGCTTGGCCTACATATTCCGAGTGGGAGAGACAACCATTGGACTGTTGGTCCCCAAGACCTGCAGTGCAATTTACCAAGTACTACAGCCAGAGTTCTTGAAGGTACATATTAGTGATGTCACGATCATCGATTATACTCGATCATCGGTTGATTCAAGACGAATCCTAGCGCAGCAGAAAAGTAAACAGCAATCCTATAGCGCTCAACTGTAGTCAGGCTCAAAATCAGGCAATCGCATGAAATGCCGAAACGCAAGCAATAGCAGGAAACGCATGAAATAGCAGAAAAAGCAGTAACCCCCAAAAAATCCCGGGCATTGCCGGGTAGCCCAGCTAGTTTTATTATATACCCTAACCCTAAAATAACATCAGAATATACAAAATTTTAGGGCACAATTTATTGGTCTAATATAATAGGTGCTCTATTGGTCCAATTTCAGCCTGGAGGTTTTTAAAATCCCGGGTTCCTTTATATGCGGGTGTTTACTGTATATAACAGTTTGTTACATAATCATAATGCACATGTCATTCATGCACGTTTCATTCTTTTCTCCCAGCATGTATACATAATGTAACATTTGCAGTGCCAGAAATTGCAGAATGCACGAGAAAGCGTCATTTCAATATTGAAAATTCAAAAAATTTATATTCTGGAAGGCAGACCGCTACGTGTCTCGCAAGCGCAGAAACGCGTCCATAATGACTATAATGCTAGCCGCACACTATACGATTTTGCTCGGGCCGCAGTCGTAAGCCCTCGCACGCCATACGCTCGGCAGCCGATCGATCGTGAGGCCCCCGCACACTGTACGACTCAAAGTCACAGTTGGCGCTAACCATAGCTAGAGTACCTCCATAAAGAGTACCTCCATACCTCCTCTTTATGGAGGTACTCTAACCATGGCGCTCTCGTGGCGTTCCAAGCGGATTTAGCGTGTACTAAGGGTCGGGAGTGTTTCCCCTAGCAGCAAGCAGACGCACTTCCAGCATTTTTTTCCAAAATGAAGTTAAATCCAGCTGTGGTATTGTGTTTGGCTATGCTTTTGCAAAGGAGGCGTCATAGAAGGTAGAAGAAAAAGCAACAAGTAAGGAAAAGGCCCTGGAAGCTTCCCCACCTTTATCTGCATGCAGAGCAGGGAGTTTTCCCCAACCTGATCCACAGGGCTGCCAACATTGGGTGATAGGTGAGAGTGAGATGCGAGGGAGCGAAGCGACCGAGGGGGGAGGGGGTTTTCTCTATCCTTGTTCTCATGTTCTCTATCCTTGAACCGAACATCCATCCAAATTTTCCACCCTGTTATGTTATGTTATGTTATGTTCTCGTACTTGTCGGTGTCAACTACACTGGATATAATGACAAGGTAGTAAGGCTCAGGGATAAACCCAATAAACATACAGGTGATAATGATGATTGTGAGTGCAATGCAACTGGTGTCCTCTTAAAGTGTGGTTCGCGTGCAATGTGGAGTGAAGCCTTGACTTAAAAATGTCAACGTCCGTTGCTTCCACAAACACCACGGGTAGAGTTGTTCCAGATTAGAATCATCCGGGGGAAAAAGAGAATTTGAATGCGTTGTTGTTGCAGTGCAGGTGTCGAAATTTGTGGGGGTTTTTCGATCTGGTACTCTGACAATCCCGGGATCAGATATCTATTCGCCGGTATTGCCTCTGAGGTGGTTTACAACCTGTATTACATCACTACACTCGAGTTAAAGGTCTACGATACATAAGTTCTTGCCACCCGAGTTGGTCCTTAAGAGCTGACGTACTGCTATATCGCCCATAGGTGTTTGTAACAAATCTTGCAGATCTGTTTTGTATCATTTCTAGCTTATATTTATATTTCTCTTTGGTGTGGGTCCCCACACTGAATGAGCAGTATCCAGGCTTGGTATACAAGAGTTTTGTATGCTCTTTCCTTAATGCGCTGATGGCCTGGCCAGCCCGATTTCGGCGCCAGGAAGCCTAACAATCTGTTGGCCTTCACACATATGTTGTCAATGTGGACGTTCCACCTTGAGGCACTGTCTAGCGTGAACTCCAAGATACGGGTTGGATGTGACATACTGCACGTGAAGAGTCGTGAATGTGGGTAGATGTACTTATGATGTTTTTGCGCAGAAGGGAGATATTCATGATGTAGCACTTGCTTGCATTAAACTCCCATCTGCCATGTCGCATGTCCATTGTATCCAGCTTGTCAAGATCGTCTTGAAGCGCTTCGCTGGTCTTGCTGGTGCTAATCTCGCGGTACAACAGACAATTCATCTGCGAATAATTCAGACTAGACCCTAACGATAAACCCGTAGACTATGACTAAAAAGATTGTTGAGCAGGTTACCCCTATGCACTGATATTTGCAAGATAATATGACCCTAACTACAGGCTTTCCAGCGGCCCTAAAATTTGAGCTTGTCCTAAAATTCCTAAAAAAACTTTTAAAAACGTATGAATATTCCTAAAAAGGGCTAAAATGTTATTCAAACTCCTTAAAAAAAAAAATTCCACAGATGTGTTTCGAGTTTTTGGTGATGAGATGATGAACTTTTGGTTGTAATTATGTCTAATGCAGGGTCTCCAACCATTCTTCCAACCATTACGATTTCTAGGCTTAATTCCGCATTCTTGCAGCCGCAAGGTTATATTCCTCATTTCAGTTGCATTGCTACAAAATTTGCACTGCATTGTTCGCATTGTTCGCTTGGACACATTGTTTTTTTTCAGGCATTTTGTATCTGGCATGTCTACGGTAAATGGAACAGCCTAGTCAGACAGGCACTGTCTGCAAGTGTGTCGCGTAGCTTTGTCTGCCTAATCAGACAAGGGTTGAGTCTAGGGTTGAGATGTGTTTATCAGACATGAGAATATGGCCACAGTATGCTCAGATTGCAGGAAAATGGCTTAAATAGTTTCAAAATTGCGCCATGGCCGACGTGTTTACTGTATGTACTTAATGTATCTGTTGGCAACACATGTCAAAGATAGATACTGTTCCTATTCGTTTCTTTGCGGCGGATGAATGTATTGAGTTTTGTGATTGTCAAAGTCCGACAATAAACGCCATGTATGTCAACCTCTGACAAATTTTCCGTCCCTTACTTATCAGGTCATGTGTTAATAGAATCTGTTACTCCTTTTGTGCCATGCATGGTCCATTTAGTGCCTTGTGAGGGATGTGTGTGCTATTGG